CAAAAAAATAAAATTACTTATATAAAAAGATTCTCTTTAGTCAACTTTCTTTTTGAATCTCTAATAAGTTTTTACTGTTGCTTCTATATATTAAGTATTGATTCTTGTAGTAAAGAAAATCCGGAACGTTTATTTATTAGAATACTCGAACTTTGACTTACATATTACTAATTGTAATTATTTTCAAGAGCTATTTCTATTACTCCTACTTGTTCGGCTTAAAATCTGCTATATTGTTAAGATAAACTAAGTCTAAATTTTGAACCATTTTTTGAAGTTTAAAGTGTAATACATATCGATTTTTTATCCGAATTTAAGAATTGCTTCAAAGTTTTAGCGTGAAATCGTGCATTTTTTCTAATGAAATTGTTATTATAAGATAAGCAATCTGAGTTTTTTTGAATAATATGTCACTACACATGATAGAGCGTTACGTGCTGAAAAGTTACGCTTCGTTCTGAAAGTGGTAATGAAGTTTTATTAGAATTCATCAAAAAAACGTATGAAAATAATCGTATGTCAAAATGTGAGCACTTCTCAAAATTTGCTCACATTTTGACTATTTTTGTGAGATCTTCCTCACAATTTTTTGACAAACGTACAAAAAAGTGCCAAAATGTGAGCAAATGTGAGCAATTTTTATATCTCGAAACTAAAACCCTCAACGAAAGAATTGGTGAAAACAAGATTGATTTACACAACTACCTCAAACATGATGGAGGAAGAGGAAGGAAAACTGGTGTGGCTTTATTAGTAAATAAAATTTCAAATTTAACGATTATAGATATTGATATCAATAAATCGTACAATGATGAACTTAAAGAAACAGTTAGAAAAGACATTCTATCAAAACTTTCTGATAAAGATGTTATCGTTAAAACCGCTTCAGGAGGTCTTCACATTTATTGCAACACCAATTTCTTCTATTCAGTTTCGAACAGAATGATTAAATGTTATTCATGTAATGATTACGATATTGATATAATGACTTCTATGGATGATTCAAAGCGTTCTTTAGTAGTTATGGCTGATTCAAGAGTTCGCAAGAATGCAACAGAACCAATCAATACATACTCATTCATTCGTGGAAATTATGATTCAACATTAACTAGAACCGTAAACGATATATTAAATGATTTGAATATTAAGGTAAGAGTTGAACAGAAGAACGAAGAAATAAAGACTATCATGAATGAAAACAAAGATGTAAACATTGACGATAAACTAACTCAAAGCATAGTCGATGGTATTAGTGATTTTGAAGTACATAATGACGGTGGAAACATGAATTTAGAAAAAGAAATAACATTGTTCACACTGTTTCAAGCTATTAATTCGTTACCTAATCATTTAATTAATGAAGCCTACGATAACGTTTATAACTTCTGCAGTTTAACAGAAAATGCTAAAAGTAATTTTGAAAAAGCACGTAGTAGATATGCACATTTAATGACTTCTCCATTTGTTTTAGTGAAGATTCTAAAAGAATATTATGATGAATACGTTTTACCTTTATTACGTAAGCCAAAAATAACATTTGATATCAAACTTGATGATTCGTTTTTGATAACAGATATTAGACGTAAAGCTGAAAATCATCAGTATAAAAACAGTTCTGAAGTAATTGAGGATTTATCACGTGTAATCCGTTTTGTAGATTGTGGAAATAAATATTTCATTCAAAAGGACTATAATATCCACGACAAAATGAATCAAATATCATTCGTTCTTCAATCAAACATGAAAGAGTCACTTAAAATGATTAAATTATTTAAAGAAGAAGGTAAAACAATAACAGCATGGGATGTACTACTAAATCAATTATCCTCATTAACCGTTAAGGGTGTTTGCTTTAAATCTGATTCCCCAGATGTTTTCTCAACGTTTCAAGGTTATAAATACAACGTTCTCGAAAAGCCAGATTACTCAAAAATTGAGATGTTTATGAATTTCATTAAAGAAGCCATTTGTGATAATAATGATGAAGTGTATAAATACCTTCTCGGCTGGATTGCATCAATGATTCAACATCCTGGAATCAAGAATGAAACAACAATTATTTTGAAAGGACTTCAGGGAACAGGTAAAAACAGATTTACAGACATTATTTCTGAACTTCTTGCTGGTTATTCATGCAAAAACATTACTGAAATAGGTGAGCTAACGGGTAATTTCAATTCTGTAGTTGAGAATAAAATGTTTCTTGTACTTAATGAACTCAAGAATGTAGGTGAAGACAGACTCGCAAACTTCAACGCTTTGAAATCAATTATTACGGATAATGAGATTAGAATTAATGAAAAGAATCAACCCAGAAGAACTGCTCAGAATGTTGCCAATTTCATTTTCGTAACTAATAACGTCTACCCTGTCAAAATTGAAGTTGGAGACAGAAGATACGTTGTGTTAAGAGTAAATGGTAAATTTAAGGGTCAATTTGATTACTTCAAGAATTTGATGAATTCATGCACAAAGGAATTTTATGATAATTTACTAACATATTTTATCAATTACGACCTTTCATCATTTAATGTACGAATAATACCGATGACTGAAGCCAAACAAGATTTAATAGAATTATCAACAAATCCTTTAGATGAATGGATAAATACACATTATGATGAATTGTGTGCAGGTATGACGTGTAAAAATGCTCTATTCTGCAAACCATCAGACATGAAAGACAAGAATTTCCAAATGAGCATTAAGGATAAATGTGATAGGAAACAGAGAAGAATAGATGGTAAACAAACATGGTGTTATGTTTTGAAAGAAGAAATGAAAGGATTATATAAACAGGTTGAACCAAACGATAATGAGGATTCATTTACTGACGATGAAATACCTGTAAATGAAGCTTTATAAAGTATGATTGGAATTTATTTTTGCATTAATCCTGCTGTGATGTCAAAATGTCATGCTGTCAGTAATTTTAAGAGAAGTTAATTAACCTGGTGACACATGGTGACGTAGTGACACCATCAGTTCTTCAAAAATAATTCATAAATGCCTTCCTCCTTTCGTACCTGTTGTCAAAATGTCATGCTGTCAGTAATTTTAAGAGAAGTTAATTAACCTGATGACACATGGTGACGTAGTGACACCTTCGTCTCGAAGAGACGTTGTCGAAGAGGAATAAAAATTAAATTTGGATTGAGTTTAAAAATTCATCTTTATTAAATTCATCTCTTCCAATCAATTTATTTATTCTATTAAATTCTTTTATTTTTGCTTCACTCAGTTTAAGGATTGAACGGTAAGTTTCTAATTTTTCGATTATTTCTTTCCTCTCTTTATCATTCTCAGTTACTTTAGTTTTATGGGCATCAGCCCCGCCGCATTGCGGCTTCTTTTTGTAATAGCATATTTTTGATTTAATTCTGTTTAGTTTCTTTTTATATTCATTGTCTGGACTCTGAATCTTAATTGAATCAGGACTCTTGGCTGCTTTGTTGTCACTCATTTCTTACGAAATAAAAAAATTAAATATTATTTAAATATAATGGAGTAATAAAATAAATCGGAATTTCTATTAATTTATTGTCAACTTCAACTAATGCATTGCCGTTAATATATCTAACAAATTCAGCTATTGTGTCAAATCTTCGTCTTCTTTTTGTCATTGATTTATTAGTTTTTCCATAATCGAGATGAATCAAAACTTTATCCCCTTGTTTAAAATTCATGAGCCCCGAATTAATTTGTTCACGTTTAACATCATTTAACCTTTCCATTTGCTTTCTAATATATTCCCATTCTTTTGAAATATCATTTTTCATTTCCACTGGTTTCATGTTTATAGTTCTATGCCATGTATTATTGTAATAATATACTAACTGTTGTATGATGGAGTCATGATTTCCATCCCAGTATATCTGACCGTTAACCCCTAACGCATCTCTAAGAGTTCTCATTACCGCATCAACTATTTTATTATGAAACGTATATGGAGAGGATGAAAAGTAAAAATTAATTTGTGGGAAATAATGAATCATAGTTGCCTGAAATCCTTTATCACCATCACCTCTGATATTATCTACTCTTTCATGATCTAGTAAGTATTGTATAGCTCTTCTTGTTTCCTGTTCTGTTTTCCCTTTCACCGGAATGCAATATAAATATCTAATGTTAATGTTAATGGCGAATAAATAAGTAAGGTTTCCTTTTGAATATTCCAGATGATCGATTTCGTATGAATATGGATATGGTGCAAATGAAGGGCGACTAAATGTTTTCTTATCCCTAACGTGTGCCAGTTATTATATGAAACTGAATAAACTTTATCTTTATCTTTACACCTTTCATCACTTCCAATATATTTATATCTCAGTTTTGATTTAGCATTTTCATATTCATTAGCGTTTAATAATTCACAGTCTTCCTTTTTAAATTGATGTTTAAGATATTCAGGATTTAATACTCTACGTTTATATGCTCCTAACTTAGTTCTAAAGGTTTTTCTACAAAATTTAGGAATTCCATCCTCTTTAATGTCATCAATGATTTCCATTTCATTATTTTCAATTTCTTCTTCTCGTTTATGAGGTCTTTGATTATGACTCCATTGATTCCATGAAATTAAATATTCTTTATCATTATATTTATACCTCATTAGCTTATTTTGGCTTTCATATTCATTTAATAATTCACAATCTTCATTTTTAAATTGAAGTTTAACCCATTCAGGATTTAAACAATGTTTAATTAATCGCGGAATATCTGACATCATCTATATATAGCTTCTTTTATAAAAGATAAAAAAATAAATTATTTTAAAATTAATGTTAATTTTTTAATGATTTATAAATAAATATATTTTAATGCATCGTCTATATATAGATGTAACAAAAAAAGTCACTAAACCCGTCATATCCTACTACTCATTGATTTTGAAAAAAAAAATGCTATTATACCGTAAAAAACATTTCTTTTATGTTGTCTTATATGTCAAACATATTTAACAGCATCGAAGTGAAGTAACAGACTATCAACTTTTAAAAATGGAAATCAGAGAACCATGCGGACTTGAATGTTTGCATCTTCTTTCCAATTGTTATCTCCAAATGGGCCTAACAATATCAAATCCTAAGTATGTTCCATCAATTATTGATCAAATTCAGCAAAGAACAATGGGATTAAGGATAAAATATGATGGAAAGAACTTAGTGTCAGGAGTACCAACACCAAAAGTTGTCAAAATACCAGATTCTATCAAAGATTTACATTCAGCTGCAACATGGATGAAAGAAAATCAAGGAATCACAAAAGAAACATCATTAGGAACACTTGGAGCAAATGATAACTTTGTCATTATGAACATGTGTCACTGTATGGCTGATGGAAAGTTTGCAACACTACTTGCAGAAGAATTATCACAAGATGACATTCCAAACATCAAGCCTCTTGAAGGAATTCCAATTGATGTATCACAATACTTCAAGAAACAGATGTCAGAGAACAGAGAAATCATTCCTTACTGTGCATCAAATCCAAACATCTCAAGATTTGTTTCGAAAGTACAAAATCCAGTTAAATCAAGATTCGTCAACTCTAAGCAGTTCAGATTCCCACTTAAAGATCTAGTTTGCTACCAAAACGGCAAGGTTAATAAATTATTTGAGCACCAATGCATGGCAGCAGCCATTTCATTTGCTGCTATGACAAACAATAAGAATAACTATTACATGGGATGCTCAATTCCTGTAAATATTAGAGTTTGCGACGATTACAACCAACAATATCTGAAAAACTACTTCGAAAACAAGTTTAAAGATGAGAAGGACTACAACAGAATTGCTGCTTACAAGAAATACGCATTCGCTAACTTCGTTGGCGAGTTAGATATCTTTACAAAAGCATATTCAAGCGAAAAGGTATCAGATGTATACAAGAGACTTCGCAATGCTTACAATAAGAACTACAATGACGGGTACCACTTCAAATTCCTCTCATTGATGAACAGATTACAAACTGACACCTCAATTGCAACAGAATTCCCAGATGGAGGTGGAATTGAGATCTCAATGATTGGAAAGATGAAAGTCGGCGACAGAATCAAAGACTTAGTCCTTGACTCAATTGTTGACGGAGATTTGCTGAGTAAATGGCTCGCATTCGTCACTTATTCGCTCGAAACAGACAAAGAGAAGTATTTCTCTGGATTCTTCAACTACATGGCTGGCGACGCAAGCCACGAAGAGGTAGAAAGAATCGTCAAAGGATTCACTTTCTCTCTCCAAAATATTGAACCAAACACAAAGATTGGCGATGCTATTGAGTACGTCAGAAAACATGTGTAAATAAAACAGTATTAATTTTCCTATATATAATATATATGTTTTTATTTCTTAAATTTTAAAGTATCCGTTTCCTTAAAACTGGAGCTTACTGAGACCTTAAATTTGAAAATTCGATGCTATTGTATTTCCCAATTTCGATATTTTATCGATAAAATAAAAATTTCAAAAATATTCTTATCGAAAATAGGCTATTGATTTTTTAAAAAATAGCATTATGCATTTAATAAATGAAAAATATTGATTTGTTTCAGCTCCATCTTAATTATTAGATGAAAATATGATAATATTATTTCAAACTATGACATAACATTTCAAAGCTACAGTATCTGATATTGCCTTAATTATTTTTGCTCAATATCACTTCGAATCACACTTTGGATTTTTCAAATTGTGGAAAAAACAATTTGAACAGTGGAAAAAAAAATTGAATTGTGTATAAAACGAGTGTAGTAGCAATTACTAGTTTTTTTTTTTTTATTCTCCCAAAATTGTTTTTTCTATTGGTTCATAATCTTCAAACCTGCAGCAGTAATGCATGTGATTTCATTGGCATTTCAACTGGAGAATAAATGAATTTTGGAAAATTTTGGAAATCACTTTATGAACTATTGTTTGATATATGCATATTGATGAAGTTGATATTGCAATAATGTCTTGTCGTCACTGCTTTCTGTCCTTCTTTACAGGTGTAGAAGATTATTCTCGAAATATTCTATGGTTTAGGAAAATGTATAAATTTATTACTATTCAACTAGCATAATAATATAAAAAATTATCACATGTATTTTGAATATTTCGAATTATCTTTCGCAAAAACTTATAGAATATAAATGAAGCAAATTAGTAGCTACTATTCACTAGTTTATAATAAAAACTTCCTATACAAGCGAGTATCAAATGATCGTTTTTGAATTCATATGAAAAATCTTTGGATTCAGGAACTTTAAAAGAACATACACGAAGAAATCGAAATACTTACATGCAATTCATGACATGATTAGAGCTAAAGATCCACTAATTCAAAGTTAAATCGTATCTCTCCATAATCAAAATTGTGAACAAAATTTTTGTAATGTCAGAATTTTAAGATCGCGTACGGATTTCTAGTGAGTTTAGTGATTTATAGAAAACTCCTCAATCAAATTCCAAAGATGTAATATAATATAACGCTTTGCAAATATGTTTTCCAAGCAACACAATCTAAGGCGTGTAAAGTAATAGAATTAGGAATATATATAAACATTTAAGATTTTAGTGGTTTCAAAAAGCATTTACACCAACATCTGTACTGGGATTTGATTTATTTAGAATTCCATTTGTAAATTTTCGCACAGCTGATGAACACTAGCAATAGAATTCTTGTCAGGTTCATTTATATCTCAGATGTAATGATTTCCTTGAAGTATCTTGTATAAATCATCACCTGGATGAAAATCTTATTGCTTTCGATTTTTCTATTGTTGTTGTGTCATTTCATATCTATAAACTTAATTAATGTTCATAAATTATTTCCGAAATCTTTGTGATGATTGATTTCCACATGTCTAACATAATATTTGTATCTTCTAATGAGTTTAAAAAATATTTATATGTTAATTTGCAAATGTATCCTTTTAAAAAATTATTGATGTCCGAACAAGGCATTCATCCCAATAAATACAGCGAACTGCGAAGTATCTATAAATACTACATTGATTCATATAATGCGTTATATCAGCTGAAAACGGACAAGGAAGAAGAATTAAAAGAAATTTACAAAATATTCAAAACAGAATTGATTGATTCGAAGAAATACCCACCAAAAAAGATTATGAAAGATATTTTAAATATAATTCCGTATAATAATCGCTATATAAAGTCATATTTATCTCTTGCCAAACTCATATCTGATGATTACCATATCACTGAGGTCAACTGTGTTGAAACTATTTCAATCTTCCTGTTTTACAAAGAATATGGAATTAAATTAGACAAATCCGTTGATTTTGAAAAAATTAAATCAAAAAATCTCGATATTCATACAGAAGATACAATTTACAGGGCAATTATGTATAATGACTTAGAAAGATTCATTTCATTCACCGAAAGAGAAGGATTTGATAAAGATAAAATGCTTGAATGTAGTTTATATCCAGCATTCAAAATATTCATTACTTGAATTATGTTGTTACCATGGAGCAGTTGATTGTTTCAAATTCTTAAGAACGAAATTCAGCACAGAAATAACTGGAAGATGTCTTCAATTTTCATTTTTAGGAGGAAATCAAGAGATCATGAGCGAATGTTTGAAATATCAGACACCAGATAGATTTTGCAAGAAGTATGCAATTATTTCACACAACATTGATTTTGTTACATTCTTGAAGAATGAATATTATATATGGATCGATCTGAATTATTGTGCCCAGTATAATAATCTTGAATCATTTTTAGTATGTTTCGATCAAACTAATGATGTTAAGAATTGCTTTATTAATTCGGTGATATTTAATATTCCATCTCTTTGCGAATATTTCCTATCAAATGGTGCAAACATCAATAAAAAATATAGTGATAGGCAAACCTCTCTTCATATTGCGGCACAATATAATAGTAAAGAAACAGCCGAACTTCTTATATCACACGGTGCAAATATCAATGATAAAAATAAAAATGGAAAAACCGCTCTTCATAAAGCCGCAATTTATAATAGTAAAGAAACAGCCGAACTTCTTATTTCACACGGTATAAATATCAATGAAAAAGATAATGATGAGAAAACAGCTCTTCATTATGCATTAGAACATAATTATCAAGAAACAGCCGAATTTCTTATTTCACACGGTATAAATATCAATGAAAAAGATAAATATGGAAGAACAGCTCTTCATTATGCATTATATTATGATAGAAAAGAAACAGTCGAATTTCTTATTTCACATGGTATAAATATTAATGAAAAAGATAATGATGAGAAAACAGCTCTTCATTATGCAGCAAAATATAATAGTAAAGAAACAGTCGAATTTCTTATTTCACACGGTATAAATATCAATGAAAAAGATAAATATGGAAGAACAACTCTTCATTATGCAGCAAAATATAATAGTAAAGAAACAGTCGAATTTCTTATTTCACATGGTATAAATATCAATGAAAAAGATAATGATGAGAAAACAGCTCTTCATTATGCATTATATTATGATAGAAAAGAAATAGCCGAAATCCTTATCTCACACGGTATAAATATCAATGAAAAAGATAAATATGGAAGAACAGCTCTTCATTATGCATTATATTATGATAGAAAAGAAACAGCCAAACTTCTTATTTCACACGGTATAAATATCAATGAAAAAGATAAATATGGAAGAACAGCTCTTCATTATGCATTATATTATGATAGAAAAGAAACAGTCGAATTTCTTATTTCACACGGTATAAATATCAATGAAAAAGATAAATATGGAAGAACAGCTCTTCATTATGCATTATATTATGATAGAAAAGAAACAGTCGAATTTCTTATTTCACATGGTATAAATATTAATGAAAAAGATAAATATGGAAGAACAGCTCTTCATTATGCATTATATTATGATAGAAAAGAAATAGCCGAAATCCTTATCTCACACGGTATAAATATCAATGAAAAAGATAAATATGGAAGAACAGCTCTTCATTATGCATTATATTATGATAGAAAAGAAACAGCCAAACTTCTTATTTCACACGGTATAAATATCAATGAAAAAGATAAATATGGAAGAACAGCTCTTCATTTTGTATTAGAACTTAAATATCAAGAAATAACCGAACTTCTTATTTCACACGGTATAAATATCAATGAAAAAGATAAATATGGAAGAACAGCTCTTCATTATGCAGCAGGATATAATAGTAAAGAAACAGTCGAATTTCTTATTTCACATGGTATAAATATCAATGAAAAAGATAAAAATGGAGAAACCGCTTATCATTATGCATTACGTTATTATAAAAAAGAAATAACCGAATTTCTTTTTTCATATTGCGGCACGTTACTATTATAATAGTTTTGTGACCGAATATTTTATTTCTTACATAAGATACTAAGCTTAATTTCCCATTAGATTATATACCTAAAAATATTTTTACGTATATCACATTTCATTTTTTATCACTCTTTTTAGAAGTGCTTCCACTCTGAATATTGGAGTAAATAGCTTGATCATTAACTTGTAAGCATGAGTCTAGTAGGTGATAGTAAATTCCTATCTAAGGCTTGATGCATTTATAATTTAATAGTTCGCTGATTAAGAATTAATATATAACTAATCAGCAATGAGCGTTTGTTGAGCTATCCTTATTAATGGAAGCGTCCATTTAAAATTATGTATGACAACTTATTAAGGCTTAGCTTTCGCATATGCTTGCTCATTTTTAGATATATGTGTCCATTTGAGTTCGTATTGGAAACGGTATAAATATGTTCTTATGCCTACATTAGATCAGGTAATGATATCAACTAAGCAATATCTCATAAAACATACTAAATACAGTCCTATGTGTCGTTAAATTAGTATCAGGATCCTGCAAATATGTATCCCTGGGGATCATTGTTTGATGAAGCACATATTAAAAATGGGATCATTCTAGATTGCAAAAAAAGTTAAAAAAGACGATCAAATTTCTTTCAATTAACACAAATTTTGAATAACCCTAAAAATAACTCTTTTAAATTTTGAACGTCTTTTTTTACTTTTTTTTCCACTCTAAAATAACCCTAAAAATGACTCTGAATTTTCCAGGGCTAGACTTTAATATATGTTAAACTGCTTTTTTCTTGAAATTTGTTCACGAATAAAAATTATGTTTGCCTACAAATTTTTGAATCCTTTCAAGTTCAGTGCTGTCTATTTTGGCATTAATATGCATTCAGTTTTAAAACATTCACTTAATCTTTCACTAATCAGGTAATTTCAAACTGAAAACAGAAAAGATATATTAAAACTAGAATGATTGGCTTATTTCTAAATTGTAACATGAACAACCCAAGAATTAACACAAATTTTGAATTGGATTTTTTGATTTCGTCTCTGCTTATGAGTCTGTATATCAAAAATAAAGGGTTTAAAAGAAGTCAATAACAAATGCAACGGAACCTTTACCGTTATGATGATCAGAGATATTATCAGTTATCAAGTTAACCTTTTGAGGAATTAGACCTATAATAGTAAGGGTTTCGTTTTGCTAAAATTGTCACTTTTATAGCATATTTGTTTTTGGAAGTTTTGCGAAACCTAAAAAAAACTATGAGATACAATGTGAATGTAAAGAAAATACTTTATTTACTAGTTTTTTTTTGAGAAAAAAATAACTTATTGTTGATATGTCTATAAATAAGTAGATGCTCTTTTCGAATGAATCTAAAATAAAACATTTATTATCACTTGTGTGAACCAGCTCTCATTTGAATATGAGTTACTATAATTCATTTTCATTGATTTTTACCAAAGAAATACAAATTGGGGTGATCAAAATGAAATAACACGAGACTCGGATTAGGATGAATTTCTCATTGCTTCATTTGAGCAAATTAATAAATAAACAAATGGAATATCCAGTGGAGGAAGGCTTTATTCACGCATACTTGCTGAATGAGTAATAAGCTAATGAAAAAATATGATTCATCAATTTCAAAACATGTATAAACAACATAAATTTATAAATAAAAAAATACAAACAAATAAACAATAAAAATAAAAAAAATAAAAATCTCAATTAGAAAAGCCAGTATTGGATACTAAATAAGTCTTATTTCTTTCATCACCGCTTCCTATTTCCTTAATATAATACTTCATGTACTTGATTTCGTTGTAAGTTCTCTCACTCACGTGAATTAACCAAGGAGGACAAGTGTCACAGAGTTTCATTGCTCCTTGTGATGTATCACCAAGTACATCGAACACAGGGAATGACTGTCCAACCATTCCACATTTCACAACTCCGGAGTGAATTCCAATAGAAACACTTCCAAGACTTGAATCAATGTTTTTCTGTGCCATCAAAATCATTTTCAAAGCAACTTCAACTGCATTTGTTTTCTGAGAATTTGGTTTCGAAAACAAACCACAAATACAGATATAATACATTCCACATGTTCTTATCTTGAATGTATCACCATCCATTGCTCCATCGAATGCATTGAAAGCAGAAGAAACAAATTTCACTAATTCTTCTCCTTCAGCATCAGTATTTACATGTCCTACAATTACTGATGCAATATCTGCTTGGAAACATGCATCCATTACTTCATTCTGTTTCTGTCTGATTGATTGTGGCATTATTTGCAACATCAGTTTCTCCGATTTCTCTTTTTCTTTTGCAATTGTCTCTTCTAACATATGTATTTGTGTGTTTTCTTTTATAACAATTGCAAAGTTTTGTATATTAGTCATGGATTGCATTAAATCATCTTCGTCACCATCAGTACACGCGTGGAGAGTAACTACAACATTCTTAAGTTTGCCGTAATCAGTTGCAATCGATGATTCAAAAGAAAAAGTGGAATTTTTAGAAACTCCTGCGGACATTTTTTTGGCAGAACGTTCTAGTCTTTGTATTGATGCAATTTTGTCTTTATCAACAAGAATACGCATCAGTACTTGCCTTACACTCTCTAAATCATTGTTTGGATCAGTGTATTTGGCCATTTTCAAAAATGTTGCATTGCAATTGTTGATTTCGAGGAATTCATCGCATAAAGCAACACCACATGAATCACATGAGTCACAAGCAAACTCTACTGACTCATTATTCATTGCTGCTTTGTTTCCTTGAAGATATTTTTCAGAAATCGCGGAATTTCCTGAAAACCATTTAACAATTGCTGGAGATTTCATCAAACACTCTGGAGGAACAAGCTGAAGAAGTCTTCTTGGTGTCATAATATGATGAATTAAAGTTCTAACGGAAAAGAAGACGAAAATAGAAACAAATATCAGCTGCATAACAAACAAAAGGATATAGACAATCAATAAGTCATTTGTCTTTGAAACATTTAATTCATTGACTTTTGCACTGAAAATGTCCATTCCTTTGTTGAGATATGGTATTATATGGCCAAATAATATATGTTCAAAGTGATATGTGTACTCATCATCGTAAGATAAACTCAAATTATAATCTGTATCTAAAATCCAAAGAGACATTGTATTAAACAGCGATACTTGCGCTTCACATGACAAACTGTAGTACACATCATGCATAATACCATACACAGGGTCTTTTATCGTCACTTTTGTATCGATATTTTGGGATTTCATATAATTATCATTGATATCAGTTCCCAAAATCAATCCAGGTAATGAATCAAGGTTAGTAGATCCATATAACAACGTATAAAACCTTTGCTGGAACTTGCGAATGTAATTTAACGACAATCTTCCAATATTTGTTCGATTGTTTATCACAGGATTCTTCGAGAAATATTCCTGTGCCCACACGTAACATGTTGATGCATGTGAAAACACAGTAATTGAGTACGTATAAGCGTTTGCCATCTGAATAATCTGTCTCATTGAGGCATGGAATACGCAGATGCCTGTATAACTCATTAATATTGAAAATGTAACAAAAATTGTGCAGCAGCCGAGCCAATCTATATAGATTCCATGTTGATATCTCGGAACAAGAGCTAAATTCTCAAGAAGTTCATCTTTCCTTAGATCTGCACCTTCTTGAGATGCTTCATCTGGTGTTATTTCTTCTCTTTTTATTGTTCCTTTTCCGTATTTCCCTTTAATATTCCATCTGAGGGCCGCAATTTCGTTTTTAGGAATTCCGAAGAACAATCTCAATGTTGCTTTGATTTCTTTCTTCGCAACAATGATCGTTAGCCCTGTAAGAGGAACAATAAAAACAATTGGAATTATAATTGTTATGAAATAGTAGATATCGCATAATCTTTGGAATTCTGCATAAAAAGAGATAATGTGTGCGTTCAAGTAACCTAAAGCTGATGTAACTCCAGATACAACTGCATCAAAGTTTTGGAATAAAAATTCAAGGTTGGCGTTGTCATCCATTGGACTGAAATTGTTTTTGTCCTTCAAATTGGATGCTGCCAACAAATAACTTGATAACATATTATATAAAGTCGAATTCGACTCAACACCGCCTGATATAATCCTATGGGAGCTATTTGCACATACCTCATAAGGAATATCATCATCTGTACAAGAATCTAAGTATCCCGAAATATTTTTCGAGAAATTATTTATATATTGGTCCAAATAATACCTCGTTGAGTTCTCATCACTAAACTCGACCAAATGTCCAGCTACTGGCCCAACATCGAATTTTTTGATCTCATTATTTTGATATAACGAGATTCTTCGAATAAGTTGAGGAATACGACTAACTTGCATCTGTATACTACCAATAATTTGTATTGGTAATGTTAACTTGAGGAATCCTTTGACTTTGAACAAAGAAATTATTAATTGAATCAAAGGCATCGCAGCTATGATAAATATCATGATAACTGTGGTAAATATAACAAGTCTTCTTGCTCTTGATGGGATATTCTTTATAATTGCTTGTGCAGACAGCCAAGGATCCATTTGTTCTTGAAAATTACGATCTATTTCTTCTAGTTCGCTTGATGATGATCTCTCACTTTCTACATCACCTATTTTCTTGATTTTGTTGAGCTTTGCTTGTAATTCCAACGTTTTTTCATGATTTCCAAGAACTTTATGGTAAATAATGACTGTTTCTCTATATGCTGTTGATGATAATGGATAATTCCTTATCAAGTTCTGGAATAAGTTCTCTGTTCTTGTAAATTCATTTGAAATTTGAGGAATTACGTCATTCATGCATTGTATTCTTTGTTTAATGACATTGCCCCAGAACTCTGAACAGAAATTTTGCAATGTATAGCTTTCATGCTTGCAATGTTGGATGTTTGACAATAATGGCTGGTTTAATTGAGTCAAAGATTCTTGTCTTAATAGATCAAACAAAAGAGCAAATGATCTACTATTAAATGGACCAGATGAAAGTTTATCAACGTGAACAGATAAACTATTAAGCATTCGAAAGTCATTTTTCAATGCATAAGAGATCTGGCAAGCGCTTAACAATAAATCTGCTTTAACTGTTTGATCAATCGACCATTTAATGAAACTTTGGTCTTCTACTTCAGGGATATGAAATAAAAATCCAACTCTCAAGTAAAGAGAGATCTGATGCTCTCCTGATATATTGAGCTTCAAGAAGTCAACATTCGTGTTCTGATTCAAATGAAGTATAGCTGCTGAAAGAGGATCCAAATTATTATCTTCTCCTTCTTCATCTTCTGATTCCCTCATCCCCGTGAAAGCATCTATGATCCTTCTGCATCTAATAGTCACAAGCTTCTTCGCAATGAAATATGCTATAGGTATAAAGATGATGCAACCAATAAAATAATACAAAGCGTATTTCTCAGTGTAATAAGAGACTAAAGGGAAGAGAGTAAGAGGAAGTGAAGCTAAAGCAGCCCATATGATGACTGCATTGTATTTTGGAGCTACTGCAGGTAAAATTCTCAAAACATTAAAAGCAAAAAAAGATGCAAGAGCAAAAATAAAAACAAAATGCGCAATTTCCTTGATTGGACTTGAGAAGAAAGTAAGAAGTGATTGGAAGAACATTAAAACGTAAAGAACCATATTAATTCTTCGATCTAAGCAGGAATGAGCATACCAGAGTTGTGTGATATCATTTGGTCTAATCAAAGGTGTAGCATTGTATATTGCGCATGAATAGAAAACGTATGTACTATGCATTATGATAATTGGAATAGAAATCATTAAATTGTATAACTCATTCATTGTATATTCACCAACTATCGCAAATAAGTATTTCGAGAAGTAATATGAGATATATGATGAAAGAATGGGGCAAAGGATTCTTGAATTTAAAATCCAGGAGTAGATATCACTTCTGCTCGGTACGTTGCCACTTCTATACTTGAGGATGTTCTTAAATAGTAAATACATAAGTGCGGCGTAAATAATAATTAGAGAAAAATTGAATGTTACAAGTGTATTAATAGATGCATTTAGCGGTAAGATGACAATGCATCTTTTAAGTATTGTAATGATTGTGTTGAAAAATTGTGAACTGAAGTCATTCGTTAATAAAACACCGGTTGAATCTAAAATCAGATAAAATGGGAAAACAATCATTCGAAGTGTGTTTAGCCACGAAGGAAGCTCGTTAAATCTGCCTACATCCATTGAATACTGCTGGAGGTAATAAGAAAACGAGAATTGATCGTGTGATTCGTCAGCTTTAACGCGCAGCTTCTCGCCTCCATTCCACATAGCACTCATATCGACCTCATATTTCTTCGATAAGGTTGATTTGGAATGAATGCTTGAGGCTGCGTAAATACTCGTCATAATCAATTAAATGACTGTAATTTTTTGAATTGAAAATATGGAGTAACATATATTGCATCGTTTGATTTGTTGCAATGTAAATTTATTGGTTATTTCAAAATTGAATACACATTGAATTTGTGAATTCAGATACACACGATAGTTTTTTTCCAATAGATATTTGCATACATATGTTGTAGGTGATACCGATAAAATTATATTTATCGTTGAACTTTACAATTGAGGCAATCGCGAAAACAAATTTTACAGATTTTCCAATTTTGAAATGATAACCCATATAGTTTCAAACTACATATTCGCATTGTGCCTTGGAAAACATATGTTTATGCCCTTTCTAAGTAAAATGTTGTCAGAGAAAGGCAAAACTATGCCTCAATATCAAATTGCAATAATTTTTTTGATTAGTATGCAAAATAGCTTTTGAGGGCGTTGAATAATTTATATAATCTAAATAAAAAGAAATTGTAAAAATAATAGGTGGAGTGCTCACCTCGGCTTTGCTCGGTAGCTCAATACACATCATTAATATCATCGATTAAATTTCTAAGCAAGTTATTGATTGCATCAACTATATTTTCCAAGATTGGAAAAAGCATCTGTATTCCTAATAAACTAGGGGTAAAAATCGTCCATTATTATCTCAATGATTTAAGAATAGTGTAAATTGAAATCTCAAGAGGAAGGCTTTATCATTCAGATAAACTAAATTAAACTAAAGATACATGTATAATAAAAGCAGGGATATGAAAGTTTATAGTATGAAATCACAAGGAGAACTTGTAATTTTTCGAGAATGACAGACTAGCTTAATTGAGCAATTTTATTTTCTTCTATAAATAGATGCTTGTAAAGACAATGCGAATAAATCAGTCAGAAAGATCAGAAGAGTAGATCAGAAAAAGAAACTGCTGATAGAGTCTGCGACCAGATTAAAAATAAACGAAAAACTTGGACTTTTGATGCAGATAATATGAAATTTTTTGCTTGTATAAGCAAGTAGTGTTTAACGTTGGCATAGAAAAGTCATCAAATTCGAATAAAAATAGGAAAATAAGAAAAATTGAATTTCCTTTTGTACAATGAAGTTTTCTATCGTAGCAAATGTTCTGAGTAACCCATGTCGAGTTTTACTACCCTTACTAGAAACGTCCGAAAGGATGCGCGTAAATTCCGTCAAAATGGCCGTTTCCAATTTATGCGGTTTTTTTTGTAAATTTTTCAGCCGCCAAATTTGAAGAGAAAATTTCTATACTAATAAACTTTTATAACAGAAATGAGTTCTAGTGGCGACAGGATTCCAGACCCTGGACCTGTTTCCGTAGAGGACAACGCTACCAGTGAAGCGCAACCTTCAGGGCCCGAAAAAGTCCCGAAGCGCCAAGTCGAGGTATTGCCATCCGATTTGCCAGCCGAGGCTCAGAAAGAAGTGATAACTATCATTAAAGCTGAGTCTTCTAGCAACCAGTTGCCTGCACAGAATACTACGAATGGAAATACAAAAGACAGCGGAAATCAGAAACCACCCGAAACTACGAAAAAGACAGTAATGACTCTTTCTGTCGCAAATCTCATGTCTGACCCTACACCTCTAAATGCACTGCATTCTAAGGCTCCTACTGTCACGATTAAGACAAACCAATCTGTAATTCGGCGCGTCAGTGCAAAAGTTTACGGGAAAAACAATAGCTACAAGATCGATCAAGACAATAATAAAGCCACAGTCAGATCTTACTTTCTTGCAGCCTGCACGCCTCCAATAATTCAAGCACCAAAACGCCAATCAATTGAAATCCCTCAAACAACATTCAATCAAAATTTTGCGCAATACAACTACGGAACATATTACGGCCAGCCATACCAGGTAATACAAGGCTCTTATCCAAACATCCCTCAGACCTACAATTCGAGTTATCCAATACCTACGTATCAAATGCCTCAAACATACACTCCTCCGTGGCAGAAGCTTCCTCAGCCTGCGATAAATATTGCAAAGCAGCCTCCACCGCAAAATCAGAAAAATCATCAGCATGATTTGATGCCTCCTGAACCAACTTATTATACGGACGAAGATTCTGGCCAATACGGAGTTAGATGTACTTGTGGTGATAACCACAATAGAGGATTACTCGTACAGTGCGAAAAATGCCAGTTTTGGCTCCATGGCATTTGTGTAAATTGTCCTCGAGCTTCGTCTACAGAGCAGTTCCTCTGCCCCTTCTGCCAAGCGAAGAGACTCAGATGCAGATGCAAGAAAACAAATCGTACAAATATTCCAATTGTTCAATGTTCTCATTTGCAAATTATACTTGCATAAGCAATGCGAAGGACTTGGATTTGGAATTATTCCAAAGCCATTTGTCTGCTGCCAGTGCCATAAAACACCATTCGAACTTCCTTACGTAAAATTCGATCCAATCTTCAAAGAAATACGCGATTTTTACAGTTTACGTCGATCCCGCTCGCTACGAGGTTACTATTAACATTCCGATGGTAACTTCAAGACATCTCTCGAGCAGGACCTTACAAAATCAGAAATTTCTTTCATTGACACAATGACAAAATATTTCAACAAGTTCTGCGTTCACCTCCTTGGAAATTCAAACCAGGAGATATGGAATGTCTTTACTTCTACGTTTTCTACTGTTTTTAACTGTTCAAAAGAATTAATTTGCGCAGCTATCGACCATCTTACTTACCAATTACTCTACGCCCATGAATATACCCCTTACATGGACATTGTCCCTGATTTCGGCTACAGTGAAGCAATTGCTGAATATGTCGAGACATTTCAAGGCCAATCATTCGACAAATTACCTACACAAACCCAGTTAACTCTTAATAGTAACTTAAAGGTCATTTCTCCCGTCAGTTTCAATGATGGCGATTTCATATGCGATCTTCCGGGTTTTCTGATGCATACCGATGAAGTTTTTAGCGACAATGGCATTCCTCCAACATGTTTGGCCGTTGACAACACTGTACTCGTTATAGATATGAGTGGCAGCAAATTCAACCTCGCAACGAACTTCAGAAGGTCAATGCATTCAAACACAGCTGTTAGATTAATAATAGTTGATGGAAAACCACGCGTCGCACTATTTGCCACTAAATTGACTGGTCCTTTAGCCGACGATAAAAACGGCCAATGTATCAAAGCTGGGGAGGAAGTAATTCTTCCTTTTGACGGCGAATTACCTTATCACGTCGAAACAAAGCCATGGAAAGGCAAGAAACAGAGATCGAGACAGCCTGTGAAGCAGAAAGAAGAGAAGAAGCAACAGAAGAAGAAAGTGCAACAGCAACAGAAGAAGAAGCCTCCAACAGAGCCATTCCCGCCTCTCACCCTTTTGTCTTCGTTTTTGGAAGATATTATTCCGCCAATCCCCGTCCAGATTATATCGGACGAAGAAATGGCAGATAGGATGAGAACCCTCGAGAAGGGAAAGGAGAGGAGATTGGGCCGCTCCCAAAATGAAGATTATGTGTTCGAATAAATATTATATTTATAAAAATATTGAATTTAATGATATTTCCATAATGTGTATAAGTTTTGTTATCTATTGGACTATTTCTCAATAAGTTATATGATAAAAATTATCAAATTTTCAATCTGATTTCAATGAATATGAATCTTATAATAGCAAAGTATAATAAGATAACTCTATTTTTAAAAGTTAAGATCTGATGTCATTAAATCAATCTCGATGAATCAGATTTCAAGAAATATTATTTTATATTACTGAATTTTAAGCAGATTTCTTTGACATTCTATACCAAAACAGAAAATATGAATATGAACGACTATGGGCAAGATGAGAGTGCAAAGTGAAACAATGAAATCTATTGCTTATTTGGAGGTTAAGGGTCCACTGTAAGGCCAAATAAGGCCTATCGTCGTCCTAAAAATATTGCTCAAGATGGTGTTTTTACTAAGGCCCAAAACTTAAAAAAACACAAAAAAATTAACTTTACTCTTTTGAGATCCTTATCAGATGTGCAACAATTTGATGCAGTATCGCAATTCGAATCCGATTTTTTAATGTAGATGTACTCTAACATTCTTGAAAAAATGCAAAATGATATTAATCAAGCTTTTCATTTCTGTATCATACACGAAACAAAATCATTCATTATACTAAAATTTATCAAAGTTTGAATAATGAAAAAAATAATATCTAAATTTTTACATTGAGTCGGCTATTGATATGGTCAATATTAAATCGTTTAAAAATGGGCATTGGCCAGAATAATACCCACTAAAATACACATTTTTTTAAATTTTATCAATTTGTTTTGGTATATCTTTATGATAATGAATAAAATGCTTATCTTTCATAAGTCAATACATAATTTATGCTGAAACACAAAAAATAACACGAAAATTTTTGGCCAACATTAGTAGTATATGTTGAAGGGTTGTGTGACTTTTTTTGTAAACGTAAGAATTCATACAATATTGAACGATTTTGTATCATTTTTTTAACATATGAAGTAAAAAATGTATGATTCTTACGGTTTTTATTCTTACGTTTTTGAATAAATCAAGATTTAAAAAATTTTCAAAATTGTAAGACATTTACACTCAGCCCAAACATAATGAAATAAAATAAAAAAAGAAGCTATATATAGATGATGTTAGATATTCCGCGATTAATTAAACATTATTTGAATTTATGAAATCAATAAAGTCATAATCAAAGACCTCATAAACGAGAAAAAGAAATTGAAATTAATGATTATTTGAATTTATGATATCAATTATTTGATTTATTCTTTCTTCAATCTCTTCTATTCTTTTTGTTAAATCATCTATTTTCATTAATGAGGTGATTCTTGATTGAGGAATAGATTTCAAACTAAACCCCCTTTATTTTTGAAATTTTGAATCCATCAACTTTAAACATTTTATTCAATTTACATGTTGTCAATTC